ATGTAGAAAATTTGTAATGCAGGTTTGCTAAACATTTTTAATTTTTAGAAAAAAATTGACACGAATTCAAAATAAACATGAATGAGAAAGAACCTCGGAAAGAACGCAATTAAATTAGTGTCTTGTGCACGTTTTTGAGGAACGAGTTGAAAAAGTAATAATTTTGAAACTAAAGCTGAAGAAGAATTTATAAAATGCATCAACTCTGAGCTCATTTCAATAAATTACACAAAATTTATTGCCAATCATCATAATACCTACTTGTATCTATTGCTAAATAGCTTTTTTCTGTATATACATTCTTTTTCTTCAAAGTTTTGTAGCAAGAATCTCATTTTTGTCCACAACATTGTACTTACTTGCGGTGTGTTTCTATCAAAATTATTATCACTAAATTCTGTCTTTAGACCTTAGGTAATGATGTCTGTCCTCAGGTTATAGCGCTTTCAAAGAGCAAACAGACACAGATTCATAAAAGTCAAAATTTTGACATCTTAATTTGAACACAACTATAATTTTTTAACAAAATTTCTAGGGACAAAAACAAAGAGTAAACAAAATTTGTGGCTATGGAGACAAGCTGCTACCAATTTTTTCACCAAAATTTTGACTTAGTAATTTCCATTTAAAAAAAAAACAGACTTTACATTACAAACGAGGTGATCTCGAGATCGGTTAAAGCACAAGGGGTAATGCTATTACCACCGAAGTTTGTATATGCTATTTTATTCACAATCACATTATTTTGAGTCAAAAATTTGAGTAAAACAAACTACTAACAAAGTTAAGGTTTAAACGTGGGAGGCCATCTAAACTGGGTTTGAATTTGACTTTTTAAAAATGTCAAAAAAAGTATTCAAATAATATGTGAATCTGATATTAAAATTGTTGAAATGGAGCAGTGTACTCCCCTAGAAGTAAGAGAAACTGCTACAGAAGCAATTGAATACTAATTTAGCAAAATATTATGCGTAACTTGACAATTTGAAAGAAAAAATTCCCGGTATGTTTGTAATCCTAACGTTGGCAATCTTGCATATTACCGCCCAAGAGAAGTAATGTTATTACTCCTCATGAGATATAATGACGTGTTTCCCAATCTTTAAAAGGTTTGTAATCGGCATATTACACTCGTGATTGTGAATAAACAATAATAAAATAAAAAATGTATTTGTGCGTTTTAGCCTTTTTACTTTTACAATAACATTTATCAATGTTGTTTCTTTCTTGTTCTTTTTTTTTCTTCAGCAGTTTCTGAAGAGATACTATCGAATTCATAAAAAACTAGTACAGCAAAATTTTGTTGGAGTAAATTGAGATACGTGAAAATGACAAATATTAACGTCTGTCATTATGACAATTTGAATTTTTAAGTTTGTAAAGCACTAAATATGTTTTGAAAAAGACGCTAAATTGCAAATAATAGGTAGACCAACCATCACACACGTATTTAGGATGTCTAGTTGACCAGTTACCTAAAATTAGTAACCATTTAATATAAAGTATGTTCGTAGAAATGTTACATTACAAAATTTTTACAAAGTTGAGATAACTACGACGTTGCAGTCCTAGTTTTTTATGAATTCAATAGTACCTACATTGTAGATCCTCAGCATTCGATATTTTGCATTACTAACTGCACTAGTTATGCACTAATTAAGTTAATGAACACTTTCGAAAACCTTAACACAAATCCGATACTGACGCGTGATGTTTGTTTAAAAGTGTTGTTACGATTTCATTGCAAAATGTCTTTATTATTTTGTTCATTTACTTGCTTATTATAGTGTTGCTTTTTACTTTCAATCTGTATGCGTTTACGGATAAAATAAGATATGTTACTCGAAGTAGAAGTGAGTTTATATGGCTCAGTTGAATTGTTTGTCTCACTTTTACCATAATAACGTAATATACTACTTTTTTTTTTTCGGCAAGATTTTGTTGAACGCCATCTTATGGTAAAGGCACAGTATATCTATAGTAAAAGGTATATAAATATGAATTAATAACAGAATTGTCTTCTGCCAAAAAGTTTGTTTACGGTTTACAGTATTTGGGCGTTAGAAAGTTTGCAGCGTTCAGTTTTATTAAAGCACTCAGCACTCACGCTGTAAAATTATACCTACCGCACTTATAACGTAATAGTTATTTTTATGCGCCTGTAAATTTTTAATTTATTAACACTAATCTCTTATACTGTTCTATGGTGCCTTTAAGCTTACTTCTTATGTTGCCGTTAATATACGCTCTTCTATAAAATACGTCGTCAATCACATTGTATTTTAGAAGTAGCTACATAACAGTATATTAGAAAATCATTCGAACAAATGAGATTTAATGATGTGTTTTCCAACCTTTAAAAGGTTAGTAATCGGCATCTTACATTGGTGATTGTGAATAAAAAAATTTAATATGAAAAGTACAATTGGTCGCTGACTGAATTGTGCCACCCGAATAATCTAACACTTTTGATGTCTTAACTACATTGTTTAAGGATATTTCAGAATTTTCTGAGTTTGTAGAGACTGGTGATGCCACTTGTGGCAACACATTTTACTCCTTCCATAATTTGATAATTAACTTTGTCCGTGGGAGGAAATTGTACACTTTGCTCCTTTGATAAATCGGATGTTTCAAATATGTGTGGCATACAAATAAAAATAGATAGCACAGAAATTACTGGCCTACCTCAATAAATAGAAAAATAAATCAGGTTTCCAAAAATCGGTATAAATAATGATTTTTTGAAAATACCTTTATTATCGTTTATCCCATTATTATGAAACTTTACACGTTAAGGGACAAAAAGACACTCTTTGCTATGATGCAAACGGAAGTCTTGTAAAAGCTATACATTTCCGGTGACAATAGAATCCTTCCAATTTTTGGGTCATAACTCTTTTTTTGCCTATTAACACGTATATTTGATGTCAAAAAATAAAAGCAAAATCTTTTTTTATATAAAAAAGGTACTCCTGTTCGATATCGTCAAAATGTACCGTTTTCGAGTTATTTGGGTTTAAACTAAACTCTACACCGCGCTACAAAATCAAAAAGTATGAATTTTGAGCGTACCATTACCTTGTAAACAATCCACTACGAATGACATAGCGTCAATGCTGTCAAATTTAATGTCAATTTCGCTTAATTCAAAGTAAAATTTGATTATTTTTTGATGATTCTAGGAAAACACACGATTATGTGTTGGAAGAAACAATGCATGAACTGGCATTTGCCATCCCAGCACGATTTTCCCTCCAAATTGTTGTTTTTTCTTCGTATTTCATTACTTGTATTATAAAACTATAAATCAAATAAAAAATTAAAGCGATCAGAAGACCAAGAACATAACCTCAACTTTGAAGTACTGAAACTGTAACAAATTATAAAATAAAACCTTATCAACCATTTATAGTAGCATATGGTGATTTGTTGTTGTTGAAACTTGTAGAGAATAACGCACGGTTTAATGTTTATCTACATTTTTCTTTAATTAGAAGAACATCAACAACAAATGGCATAATTGCAACAAATGCCGCGAGTTGGAGCAAAAAAACAAAGAAAATTTGAATAATAAAATCACAATACAAAAAAAAATATATTTAGTTTTTAGAAATGACGCCCTGTAGAGTGTAGAGTTTAGTTTAAACCCAAATAACTCGAGAATGGTACACTTTGGCGATATCTAAAAGTACCTTTTTTATAAAAAAAATAATTGGGCTTTCGATTTTTGGCCTGAAAAATACTTGTTAATAGGCTGAAAAAAAAAAGTTATGACCTAAAAACTGGAAGGGTCCCATTGTCACCGAAAATGTATAGCTTTTACGAGACTTCCGTCATTTTTCATACTAATTTTTTGGAAAGCTATAATGTTTCTGTTTTTTGAGGAAAGTCAGTAAATTCTATGCAATTTATTCTTATTTGTAGAGGAGTATTCGTGGTTAAAATTATGCCACACATTTTTGAAACATCCGATATGTATAAATAGTTATTTTTTGTTTGGACGTTAAATCGATTTGTCGCATTAAAAGCATTACGTGTTGTTAATGTGGCATGAACCAAATAACGCAACAGAATAAATATTTGTTTTCCTATGCCGTGATTTATATCGGAGGGTAAGTTTCAGTACTCCCTTCGGGTTAGACGCGACAGGGCAAACACCCCATCCACAAAGAGCCACGCTTCATTATACAGTCAAATGTCTGTATAAATGCTTAATGAAGAGTGATGATTTGATAGACCAAAAGAGCACACAGTACTGAAAGAACCATTTGAGTAAAAAAAGGAAATTTATAAAAATGCAAAACCACTGAATAAACATCATGAATGACACAAATGGAAACTTTTGTCGGAAGCTACAAGATTATTGCATTTGTTTTAGTAAGTTTAATGTAATTATTCTGAAACACATTTAGTGTCAGTCGGCTATTTTTCATTAACTGTGGCAATTCTTGTACATTTTATTAAAAATGAGACTGATGCATTTTTGGTGTGATTGTATCAGGATTTACAATTCAAATGGCATTTATGACAGTTTTGATAGAGAATTTAATTAAAGGAAAAAATAAAGTTTGGATTTAATTGCGATATTCAATGAATCAATGTCGAAAGCACAAACTCGAGAAACTTTGTGAGGGTTACCAAAAGCTGCAAAGCTCCTGGTCTTCGGCGTCTAACTCTCAACTTAATCCTGAAACACCGCAGGATTGCCAACTTAGGTAAACTTGTGCCAGTCTAATTAATATAAATTGAATCAGATTTTGCAATTCGGTGGCCTAGACTTGTCAACTTTAGCCTTCTGTTTATACTCAGAGGCAATAAAAGCAAACACCTCTCTCTTATCACAGGTAGGAACTTGCATATACTGGTGAATATTAGCTACCATAAAATTTAATGGTTCGATCGTGTGGCATGAAAGCCCTTCCGGTTCATAAAATTCTTTCAAGTTGCCGCCCTAACCTGTTTGTTAAAATGAAAGATTTTATTGTTTAATCACTCACTTGAACTCTCGATTCTGTTAGGCCGATCCTCATTGCGATCTCTTCTCGCATGAAAATGTCAGGATAGTGGGTTTTGGAGAAACACCTCTCGAGTTCGTTTAGTTGTGCAGGCGTGAATCTCGTTCTGTGCCTTTTCTGTTTTGTGGGTTTGTCGCCGTCGTTCGAACTGTTGCTACCTAGAGAATTGTTCAATGAAGGTAGACCGTCGCATAATCCACTTAGACGGGGCTGTTCTAGCACTTTTAACTCGTTCTGATGTCTTTTTAGGTCCTCGCCGCACATTTCCTTTATGCCTGAAATGAAAAAATCTTCATTCAATTATAGTGTGAATTCACTTGTACTATAGTTCAATTAAAAACTTCATTTTACATAAAAAGTGTTCGGTTATCGAGACGGTTATAAAAATCAGTATCTGTTGTAGAATTATACAGGGTTATGAAAAAAAACGCCCACGATTGAAACAGGCGCGTCCTTTTTTATTGAAACATTGTGACCATCATTCCAAAAATAGTCTAAATAGATTCTTTTTTAAATTTAAACAGTTTGTCTAACAGCATTTTCTTTTACTAAAAAACTATTTCACTCAGGTATTTTTCGTCTAAGAAACTAGTGCTGACAGATATTGTTACCCGCATAAAATAAAAAACTGTAAAGTTTACATAATTTTATTATTCCAATACGATTCAACCGAAAGGTATCTAATGATTTCAATTAATTTTTTTAATCTTTGACTTTTTGACTTTAATCGTTCAAATTTCACAGAACAAACAACATTGAAAATTGATTTTTTTGTTACTACCGTTTCCAATAATTGAACATTACTTGGACATTTTCTGTATCCTAAAATATTTGCAATGTTGCAATATTGATAAATTTTCTTTGGAGCCAAAAAATGGTATCCTAACATCTTGAATAAAGTTTATTTCAATTGACTTTTTACACATTTTTTTAAGAACACCGTCAACAGTATCAAAATCTAGACTTTAACAATGAAATTATTTTAAAACTGTTAATTATATAGATTTCTCTTTTCTACAAAGGAAAGTCTATATCTTACTGATAAGAGCACAAATTCAATTTTGGTCTTCGAATTCGTCTTTAATAAAAGATCACTTATAACGTGTGGGTTAACACGGGCGCCTTTTTTTCATCATACTGTATTATTTTATGGCCATTTAGTTAAAAGCCTAAGCATTGACCTGATTTTCATCACGTTACAAAATTGCAGCAAAATTAGAGGCAATAAATAGTTCCTACTGTTTTTCACTTTGAGCAACTACATGAAAATAAAATGTGTTTTCTTCTTAGTATACATAACGTTATGGTAATTTTAATGAAAAAAGGTGTCATTAAACGTCAACACAAAAAATCGTCTAAGAAAATTTAGAGACGAACACCAAAAAAGAAACAAATTCGGTACCGCTAACAGTTTTTAGAAATTTGAAAACAAATAGTTCGAAGGCAAGAAGTTAGAAAAAGGGCCCGTTAAACTGTAATAATGCCTGTCCTTAGGTATTCAATTATAGCGCTTTCAAAGAGCAAACAGACACACAAGATTTATAAAAGTCAAAATTTTAACAACATCTCAATTTGAAAATATAACATAAAAAATTTTTAGGGACAAAAACAAAGAGCAAACAAAATTTGTGGCTATGGAAACAAGCTGCTACCAATTTTTTCACAAAATTTTGACTTCTATTTAAAGAAAAAACAGACTTTACTTATAAATTACATACTTGACATTCTGAAAATCTTTAATTAATGTTTAATGTTTATGACGTTAACTGTCTTTTATTTTTTTTTTTCAACGATAACACCTTATACTGTTTCTAAGCTTACTTCTTGTGTTGCCCTTAAAATACGGTTTATCTATAAAGTACGTCGTCAACAGCAACGTATCTTATGAGTCTATAAAATACTAAGTTTTTGTCAAATTTGACATTATTTTGATATACTTCTTTATAATAATTTCTAAATTTGATAAAATATCTGATTCAATATTAGTGTTGCAAAAAATCTTGAAGACAATACCTCATCCTATTAAACTACTCAATTTTTAAACTGTCTATAAAATTCTAGTTGTCTTAATAGCTATAAAATATTAACTGTAAACTGAAAAAAAAAATTACAGACATTGGTTTAAGAAGAATAAAAAATCATATCAAATTAAAACTTAACTTATATTGACTAAATGTAATATATTTTATATTATTTAAATACAGTGAGCGGCACAATTATGGAATAATCTTATTTATAAAGCCTGATTGCGTAGAAGATGGTTTACAGGACACAAGGAAATAGAAAAAACATTAAATTCGTCGCGACGTTTCAATACTTTAATTGTACCTTCTTCAGGTGAAGAATTCTCGTTGGTTGAGCGTGTGAAGCATGGCACAAGTCAAGGAAGTTCTTCCTTGACTTGTGCCATGCCTTCACACATGCTTTTACTCTTAATAACATAATCTACTATTATTTCCCTGTGTCCTATAAACCATCTTCTACGCAATCAGGCTATCATATTTCAAGGACAATAAACACAAAATGGTGCTTATTTATAAAATTGAAAATATTTTGTTTTGACAAAAATGTTTGAACAGGTATTTTTTTTAAATACACAATTTCCAATTTAATTTAAAATAGTTTTTTTGTTGATATTTTACTTTTTGAATGTTTTTTTTCGACAACTGTATGTAATATTTAATATTTTGGGGTTGTCATTTCGACAATTAAAAAATCTATCTCATTGGCTCAAAATATTAGAGTTTTCCATTAAAAAAAATGTCGATGACGTCATTACTCAAAAACCAAAAAGTTAAAAAAAATTTTTTTTAAAGTTAAATCAAGTTGAAAATTGTGTATTTTTTAAAAGGAAAATTGACTTGTTTTAGCATTTTTGCCAAAACAAAATATTTTCAGATTTAATAAGATTATTCCTTAATTTTGCCACTTATTGCATAAATATGAATTTTCTGTATAATAATGCAAAAAGTTATTTTAAGTAAAACTGTTAAATAGTTCTTGTACGAAGTGATTTTAATAATTATGCAATAATTTTAAGAAATACAAATCTAAAGAAAACACAGTAATTCCAACTTGACCTATCCGAATGTTAATACTCCTAGATTCTTATGCAACCGCCATTTTAGCGTCGGAAAATTCGGCAAAAATCTTTTGAGTACTTTTTACAGAGTTTATATTGCTGATAGCCGGTGACGTTTGAGATAATGACATTCGTTGGTATCATCCACAAAAAAATCATGTCAAACTATTATTACCTTTTCATTATTTTTTATTAATGAGTTATTTTTTAACCTTTTTTGCTAATGTTAACGCAATATTTTAAAATAATGTACTAGATTTTGAAACACTAAGTTCAAAAATCATATTTGTTTACAAAATTGAAGAAGTTTAATGCTGCGCGTCAAATTTACATTTTTTTCTGCGACTAAAACCTTCTACTATAATGTGAACAACGGAATTTTAATTCAAGGAAGACTTTGGAAGTTTTCACGTATATTTTCTATTAATTTTAATTAATTAAACTACTCGCAGTTAGTCAACGGTAAGACTACTTTTAAGCAATCCACTTTGCCCTTTATTTCAAATTTAGATTAGATCTCCTAATTAATTTCTTCAATTGTGTTAATAATTCGTTATTGTAGATCACCGAGATCAGTAACAGTTTTGATTCAAATGTGGCTATAAAAAAGTCACAGGGAGTGATATCGCATGACCTCGGAGACCAACTTGTCTCTGTAATTAAACTAATCGTGCAATCTCCAAGGAATTGTCTCAGAAAAGTAATGTTTTTAATGTGTGTCAAAAAGTGACAGTTAAAATGTACTATTTAAAGGATTGTTTATTTAAACAAAATAAAAATACTATTCTTTCATAAAATATATAGGTAACAACTTAACAGTGTCACAACCTCTTAAAGACAAAACAATAATAATTTGGAAAAAAAATACTTGTTTTACTCAAATACACCATATGGGTGAAATGGTAAACTTACTTTTTCTGCTTTGCCCAAATATCACACATTGACTACTCATATTTTGTACAGTCTTTGTGCAACCAAAGTTGGCATCTAATACATTTTATCCAATCCACTTCCTTTTTAGTGCTATTTTACAAAAATTTTATAAAATATAAAATTTTAAAAAAAATATGAAAATTTATAAAATTTTATTGAAAGGCATCTTTGCCTGGAACAATGCTGATATAGTTAAAACTTTTACATAGGCCGAGAAATACTAGTACATATAAAAAAAAAGTCGTTCACCGTATGCCCGAGTTCACCATTTCACCCTGGTTTTTCAAAAAAATGTTTACTACTAAAAAAAGTTGTTTAGAATCAACATCTAGGCTTCTATACCAATTTTATTTTTAACAGTTTTTACATTCTGAATAAATTATTACACATTAAGATTATTACTATTAAAAACCTTTTAACTGTTACTCTGTTACTCAAAAGCATAACCATCTTGGTAAAAAATGAAAAGTCATTTTGAAATTTGGCATGTTAGTTCTAAACAATTTTTCTTAATAACTTTTTGTCCTATTTGCTACATAACAAGCACTTTACTCTACAGAAAAATAGTTTGTTTGAAAATTTCCAAGATGTTTTTGATTTTTCAAAACTAAAATTATGTCGGAAATCAATCTTTAACGAATCAGAGCTGAACCCCAAAAAATGAAAATTTAAATCGAGAATTTTTTTTTATAACAGTCGTTCACCTATCCGGGGACAGACTGTACACCTATATTATTATAGATTGCATTATTATCCTTGGATAAGAAATTTTAATTTATTTTTTCTGAAACAGTTTTCATATCAATCAATGTTTGCAAAATGTAAAGATAAAGATTTCTTTGAAAGTGCTAAGAAAAACAATCGTAAGAAAGAAATTCGAATTTCTTTCAGTTCCTTCAACTTTTAAAGTTTATCAATTAAAACTTAAGTTATGAATATAAAATACATGAATATAAAAAATACGAAAAATCAAAAAGTACATAAAAATGCAAACGAATAAATAAAAAGCAGTTCAGAATATGTGTTTAACATTAAAATTACACGTTCACCTGGTTTCTGGTAAAATTTTATGTTTTAGTAGGTAGCGTGGATCTGATTAATGTCTTATGCTTTTATTGGGATTTAAATGTAACTCTTTGTTACATACATGTTAACTCTACAAAGTGTCCCAGCGAGTTGGAAAAGTCCATTAGGGACCTTTAAATGGTAATATTAAAAAAAAATTGTATAGATCGTTGATAGATTTCTACTCTAGTGCATCACCTAAAATTATTTTCAGCCATATACAAACCTGTGTTTTTTTAAATGAAACACATGTTTCTATGCATTTTTGGATGTAGATGATGATTTCGCTTAGTTTTAGAAATAAGACGTTTTTTTTTTTGAAGAAAACATGCACTTTTTAAATTATTATTACACAAAAACTAAGACACCTAGAACAAATTTTTTCTTACTTTTGCAAAGAAAAAAGTACAGAATTTAAAGCTGACGCAATTTTTTAGTGTTTTGCATTTGTAAAGATTAACAAATTAAGAAGTTCTTTAAAAGTTAAATAACTTAAAATATTTAAATAAAACACCCTATTTTTTATTTTTGCATCTCATAGACTGATAAATTGTCCATCTAAAAAAATAAACTTTTAATGTTTAGAATTGATAAATGAAAACATATTTAACATTCAAAATTAATTGTAGCAACAATGCTTATCAATATCTGAGTATTGTTGATACTATTGCAACCATAGTAATTTCACCACGGATCACTTATCCGTTGATTTATAAATAATGAAATTCAAATTATTTTATTGTAAAAATAAAGAATAATGGATTTAGTTTAACACAAATGTGATTATTAAGTGATATTTCTTCCATTTCTTGTGCAACTGTGCATCTTTTGGCTACTGAAACAATAGTAATTTTTTTTTAATGTTTAACGTTAAATATCTTTTTAATTATTGATTATAAACACCTAAAAGTCATTAATTTTTAAAAGATATTTTCATAATCTTTTAAATGCAATAACAATAAATAGTGTGTTCCATTTAAATTTTTTAAGTTATTAAAGTTTTCATGTTTTATCTTTACAAATGCAACACACTAAAAAATATTACAACCTTATAGCTTGTACATACCTTCTTCTTTGCGGCAGTAAAACAAAAATATTTCTAGATGTCTTAGTTTTAGATGTGTAATAAATTTTTAAAAAATGCATGTTTTCGTCAAAAAAACCATCTTATTTTTAAAACTAAGCAAAATCGACCAATAAAAGTTTGGCTTAAAAACATTGTCATAAAAATCTACATCCGAAAACGCTAAGAAATGTATGGTGTTTCATTTAAAAAAAACACAAGTTTGTATTGTAACTTATTTTCGAGACACGCTGTGTAGTTGAAAATAATTTTAGGCAATGGACTAGATTAGTATCTATCAAAGTCCAATATAATTTTTTTTTTAATTTTATCATTTAAAGTGACCTGGACTTTTTCTACTCACTGATGGGACATCCTGTGTATGTTATCATTGGCCTGTAACAACAGGATCTTCTAAAAAGTATTTTATTTCATTTGTTCTATTAGCTACAAAGTTACAAAGCTCATCATACGTATATTTTATACAGAAATAGAAATATTATTCATCAATAAATATGTACTTAGTTACATTCTATCTATGAGGTAAAGTAATAATTTGTACAAACAGGTGATTTGAATTAAATTTCAACATTCAAATAGAAAAATTTATATCAAAAAAATATTAGACATAAATTTTTATAAAAATAAATTTGGTTTTACAACATATGATATAACAATGAGAATGCCTGCTATACATTTATATTATGTGTTTAAGTAGGTATTATTAACTTCTTGTTTGCAGTTAAGAATAATTATAATTATTCTATTTATGTTTCCATTTTACCTAAATGAGTGTAACACATACTATTGTACTGTATTTTAATGTTAGTGTTAAAGTGCAGAAAATAATCCTTCATCAAACAATTTTATAAAAAAAGATTATAAAATTTGATTTAAATAAATAATAGTTCATTGTACAAAAAGTTTGTTAAAACATTTATGATTTTTGGTGTAATGACAAAAATGATAATAAAAGTTGAATTTTATTAGACAGGAACAAAATGTACAACTTTGCCCACCTATTTTGTCTAAATCTAATAAATAATTAATTATACAATGCATTTGTTTATACGTACCCACCATCATGGTAGATCAATAGAAAATTCCAAAATTATCACCGAACGTTTTTCTCACCACTGCTAAACATAATCACAGTGATTTACAATTTCTGTTAGTACAAGACGCAACAAACAAAACTACATCACAGCTATCATTAAAATCCCAGAAAAGCTCTATCACAACCCTGTGCACCGCCGACAGATTGGCCCTTCATACTACTGGGTGTTACAATAAAATCTAAAAAAAATCGCGAATAGTCACCACCACATTCCCGTTGGATTTATTTTGAATGTATCGTTTCTCGTGGGGTATGGCGCGTCTGCAGATACCGGATGAGGACTAAAAGTATGAAAGAGTGTGTGGGCCTCCGGCTGCGTGTCCCTAATTGCATGGCCTACCGGAGCGGCCCGGCAATATTGGCTTAATGAGGGCGAGGCAGCTTCAATTTAGCCCATTTAACTAGCCTATCGTTAGTACGCTGAATCACTAAAGACTTTAGCGTCAATTAGTGCCCCCACTAACTTACCGACAGGGCCCAGATTGTTGAGCATGTTTCTGCTGCAGACGACGGTGTCCAGGCTGACGCACTGCACTGTTTATTTAATGAGTACTGATTTGATACTGAATTGTGAATATGTTGTTGATGCTGGGAAGAAGTACGAGTGGGAGGCGAACCAATGGGGGCCGAACCCCCGCCGGGGCGGAGTTAGATGTGGAGGCGTGGCTCCTGCACTTCCATTGCACGATATGGTGGGTGTTCTTCGACAGGAGAACGAAAGCTCGTTTTGCTGGGTCCCGGAAGCGCTCGCACGAGACTACGATTCCACTCTTTTTAATCAAAAAAGTAATTAAACTTTTTGTATTGCATTTTCGAACAAATATTACAACATTCCGAACGAAAATTTCTACAAGATGTCTGATCCGAAGAGAGGAGAACCCTCCGCATATCGAGAAAAAAGAAGACATTATTAAATGTTTGGTCCCTTTACTATATACATGTAAAGTATTTTATTGCAACACGAATATGTATCTGCTTATACAGGGTGTTTCACACAACTTTACGAGGCTTGCGACTAATGTACGCACTCAAATATACAAAAGTAACAAAATAATATTTAATTATTTAATTTTTGGAAACTTTTGAAAGTAGTTGTCAAACTAATCACTATTTCATTAATAGCCATAAATTGAAGTTTTTCAGAAATAATTATATCATTTGTTCTATCAAGAGACGGCATGAATATGACGAAAAATGTTGTAATTTTTGAAAGCGTGAACAAACTAGAAAAGATTATCCAATTTTTCAAAATTTGTAATCGAATTCGTATCGGAATATGTATTATTGATTGCATCTTATAGGCGCAGGCTTCGTTAAATTATGTGAAACACCCTGTATGAGGTATTATCGTTGCAAAAAAAAATAAAAGACAGTTAACGTCATACATTTTCAGAGTGCCAAGTATGTAATTTATAAGTACACATGTTTACTAAGAACAAAACACATATTTTATTTTCATGTATTTGCTCAAAGTGAAAAACAGTAAGAACTATTTATTGCCTTTTAATTTTGTTGCAGTTTGTAACGTGATAAAAATCAGGACAATACTTAAGTTTTTTTTAAACTAAATGGCCATAAAATAATATTATTATACGAAATTGTGAACCACTTTTTATATAAAATAAAGTTTTTAATTAAACTATAATACAAGTGAATTACAAATGAAAAATACACATTTAATTATTTAATTTTTGGAAACCCACGACAGTACTTGTCAAACTAATCACTATATTATTAATAGTCATACACTGCAGTTTTTCAGAAACAATTATCATTTGTTCTATCAAGAGACAGCATGAATATGATTCTAGTTTATCTTCCTTAATCACTAACTAACTAAAAACGTTGTAATTTTTGAAAGGGTGAACAAACTAGAGAAGATTATCCAATTTTTTAAAATTTGTAATCGAGTTCGTATCGGAATATGTATTATTGATTGCATCTTACAAGCGCAGACCTCTAAAATTATATGAATCACCCTATATTTATATGAAATAAAAGACAAGTTATTATTAAAAGTACCTAACGAAATTTCTCTGAGTCTATGACAAACAGTAGTTTTACAATTTATTATTCATCATAGGTATATTTTTATTATTCTGAATTTTTCTGGATGCTGTTTAAAAATGCTGCACTAAAACTATGGTACGCTATCTAGAAGCATTTGGTGAGTGAGGGAAAAATATTAAAAATATAAAAAATTCTTGGTTTTTATTTCTCTGCACAGTGGGGGTTTTGTGTAAGAATCTTCAAACGTTGTTAGTTGTACTTATTATTACTAAATAACACTCAAAATGCAATTAAAATATAAAGAATGGAAGGTAGATTAACAATCTTTTAAAAAAAAGACCTCTTAAATAACTCAGTGGAGAGGAGGGAGGGGTAAGTAAACCTTTAAATCTAATGTTTAGGTTGTGAACATCCGATCTAAAACTAATTTTTTGGTACAAATATAGATCGGTGTTTTTTTTTCATATCAAATTACTAAATTATACAACAGTTTACCTAAAAACTTCAACTCTGCTAAATTTAAACAAACGTTGAAAAAATTACTTTTATCCAACCAAGCCTTTAATTAAGCCTGATTTAGTTTTTTTCTTTTTTGATCTTTTTTTTCTTTTTGAATATTTAGATGTGCAACATGTTTAGTAAATATGTCTCAAGACTATTTTACTTAATACATAGTTTTTATTTTTCTGTGTTTCAATTTTTATTTTTATTTTTATTTAAAAAGAAAGCTACACTGTATCTGTTTATTTTGTTTTGCTTAGCTGAAAAACAGGGGATGTGCAATCGCGAGTTTGGCATTGTACATCCATCTGATCCTCGGCTTTTATATGCACGTTTTGTTTTATTTTATTTTTTTAAATTTATTGTTTATTATTTTTGCATATAATAAAGACCTTTATTATTATTATTATTATTATTATTATTATTATTATTGTTATTATCTTTAACGCAATGTCTATGGTTTTTAACATTCAATGCAACTTACCTCATCTAAATTATCGATAATTATGCAAAAATCGATTCGGCAACGTTTAAAAGTATTACAATGAATTCAAGAACTTAATTATTCCATGGCAACTCTCTTGATTTTTTCAAGCCATGTACACGCAGTTGCCAGATTTACCATAAAATAAACCTTCATCCACGTGAAAATTTAACATCAAGATTTTTTTTAATATTTTTCCCTCACTCATCAAATACTTCCAGACAGCGTACCATAGTTTTAATGCGGCATTTTTAAACACCCAGTATAAACAATTCTTAATCCATTTAACATTATGTATGTATTTACAGCATATTGTTATATACAGTACCTATAACCTCGATTATTCGAACCCACAAACTCTTATAACCCTTCCGTAATCCGAAACACTTCTTTTGTTCAATATTATTTAATTTTAATCTTAGTTTATTAAACAGTTATATTTATTGAACGTGATAGCTGAACGCTGTCACATCTGTGTAAAAACTTAATTTAACCATCTTTATCTTGCGATAGCAATTGTTTTGGATGAGGCCAAGAGGCAATTTTGCATGACCCTATAGCAAAAAATATCAAACTTTAGGCAATCAACGATAATGAAAAATAAAAATTTAAGGCCCAGTAGAAATAGGCTCAAAAGTTCATAAAAATATATTTTTTTAAAAACATTACCATCAAAAGTGCATTGGATTTTCAACAGTCACACAAGAAAATCTAACGAAAACCATAGAAAAACAGTAGTAAACGGCGCTAGTGATTTGAAAAAGGCAAAAGGGTGTCGCAAAAAGTGTTTGTGCAAAGAGCGTGTTGTTTTTTTAAGTGCGTATTGGTGCGATTAATTGATTAATTAATTAATTTGTAATTTGCTCTTTTCATGCCGTTTTTAAACAAAAATTTTAAATTTTTACTTTCGTCAATTTATGGAGCGTTATGACGTTTGATAATCTCTTAATTTTAATTAAAAATTTACTACATATTAAACAAAAATAAAAGAAAAATATGGTTAATTCTATGTTAATTTTCAATAAATTCAAATTACAAATTATAAAGTAACCGTTGACTGCAGTATTAAAAAATTATTTATTTTCAAAAAGATGTAAGTTATTACCAAAAAAAAAGGATATAATGACTACAATAACCAATGAATAAACAATAGTTTGAATAAAATTTTCGTTTATAAATATCATAGTTACACTTATTGGAGAACAAACAATTGTTATTTTCTTATGTAAATGTGACAGGTTTTAAAAAACAATAAATAAACAAAAATGTCTTATGTAAGCTGTCAATTACGGATAACTAGTTCGAGAGAATCAATTGCACCTTAAATTCTTATCAAATTGTCGAATTGGTTTTTTATACAAACGAGGACATAACACTTCCGTAAATCTCTCTGTCAAAGTGTCGTCGGAATAGGTCAATAATGAAGTGAGACTCGCGGGAGAGATTGCCCTGATCGGGACCATTACAGGATCAACCAAGTTGCTCACCCCTCTTCTATTCCCGGACGATACTTTCATGCACGACTAAAACTTCTAACTTATTCGAAGGGACAGGATATTGCCAATCAAACGACAAAATTGCGTCTTTAGACATACGTCCGAATTAAATTACGTTGACAATGGCACGAATTAAGAACAACATTATGTAAAGAAGTTTCATTCAAAATAGTGACATTTAAGCCATACATTTTAGAGATTAATTAAAATGTTTCTAAATCTAATTTATTCATTATTCTTATGATTTGCAAATTGGTGAATCTGAATTTCCAATTAATGAAGCTATTGATTCTAGGGTTTACTTTATTTCAGTATGAATATAGAAAATCACATTATGTGATGCTCTTTACTTTGTTTAACTTTACTGAAAGTTAATCAATTTGTAATGATTTAAGACCACAAACTGCTTTCTATTTGTCAATTACTATTTAATTAAATCAATAGTGGTTTAATCAAATGGCGCTTTAGTTTATATTTAGGCGTAACTACAGTGGCTTCAAATGACAATAAAGACATTATTTTCAAATCCATAATAAATGTATGCATCATTTATTTTAAACAAAATATTTCATAAACATACCTAAAACTTAAAAAAACTGGTTATAATAATTTTAGAGTAACATTGGTGTATGTTTTATTAAAATGTTTGCAACATTGTTTATTTGCTTCATATTTCTTCATAACAAAGAATAGGATTTTTTGCAATCGTACTGTAGCGAACACTTTATTCAATAATTTTCAACCTAAAAAAACAACATTTTAC